ATGGCCATTCAAGACGTGATGTATACTCCCGTAGGTGGTTTCGAATGCTGGTCTCAAATCTGTGATCCAAATCTGCTGGACAATTCGGGGTCAAAGTTACGGGATCAGTGCCTCAGTGTGTTACACCACTGCAAAGAGTGGAGCCGAGCAGACACAGTACATGTGTGCCTCTCTTCCATGAACATCCAAGATGGTGTTTCGAAATCTTCGGCAGTTCCCAGCACTTACGGTTAACGGCGATCGAATGACTCGTTCGACTACTGCTTTTTTTGGGTGGGGGATACGATCCAAACATATATGAATACTGTACGCGCTTTTTAACCGGTGCTTCAAGTTAATTGGCTCTGTTGGAAAAAATACTGTAGAATAATAGTCTATCGCTTTGTGTGCACATATGATTAATCGCTAAATCTATTGCAGAGGTAAACGCCCTTTCAAGAAACCCTTTCATGGCGTAAACGTAGTGGTGCGATGGGGCACGATACCACGGCTGTACTTAAAAACCTGAATCCACTACGACTTGCTTTGGACTATCCCCTATAGGTCTTTCATTGCTGGTTCGAAACAGTATCCAGTGGAAATGACTGTCGTGCAGTGCGACTCCTGTATTAATTTATGATAACTTATCCTTCCAACTTACCCGCTGATCTCCATAGGTGAATAGGCGGATCGGTCCACTTTTTTCACCTGATAATTGCGACCTTATGAGACGTCGGAAGTTGTCGATAATAAACTAACTCGAAGCTCATGCTCCCTATTTTCCGTAGACGGCACTCTGTCGTAGAGATACAAAACATATTTGTCATCTTCGGGATGCGGCTTCTTTTGAACCTCAAATATAGGAGGCTATGAACTCTTCTATCAGTCCAGCGCCACAAAATTGAAGCTAATGGGCCAGATTGCAAACTCGAAAGCTACGTTTCACTTCGGAATCTCTATATATCCACAAACGTACGAGGTTTCTTTTGCAAAATTAGGGTCCATCAACGCTGTGTTCATCAGGCGAAACGCAGAAGATCATTGTGATCGCCTTCCACTTACTCGACTTCCTCGCAAAGGATAACGTGCTTGTTTCCACAGCTTCGAGAAGCACAGTACAGAAGCTGTTTATTACCGCCTCTTACTAGATGGTTTCTACGTCATGCTACAAGAACGAAAGTCCTCCATCAAATATGATGACACCACATTCGGTCAGAAGTTTGCTGGTGACATGTTGAAGAGCGTTTGACCGATGAATCATTCGAAACTTTTCTCCTTGAAGCCTATTGAGCTTATTTTGAGCAAATTTTTATCAATCCTCTTCTGACTATTCCTCTTCTGACTTGAGCCTCACCCTTATTCGCCCTTGATGAGCGAAAAATACTTTTTTGTAATACCTTCCCAGTGTTCCTAGATTAAAGGAGAGGTATGCTCAACCAAGTTTGTATCACCCCCCAATTGAAAAAGAGAAGCTAGTGAGAGAAAAATGAAAAAAAGCGAAACTCAGTATTTTCGTGATTTCTGAATAGGTGAGGAAAAAATGAAAAAAAGCAGGACTGTGTATTTTCGTTACTTTTTTAAGAGTTGGTTGAGTATGTAGATGCAGTCTCGGCAGACATTACGTACGTACCTTTGGAACCAAATGTTTGGTTATGTACGTAGCAGCTCGTCCAAATACCTAATCATAAGAAGTATAATCTTCATAATTTCATAATTCGAGTAGAGAGATTTGTAGAAGTGGGCACCACCAAGTGAAAAGGCTCACTTGGGTGAACCTCGTGATTATGCAACAAACGCTCTGACAAATCCAACACCGTGCTCCACTCTACGATGCAATAGGGTGTACGTTTCCCCATTCCTCTCTTTATGAAGATCACGAGTTGATCTTGGGCCAAAGATCCGTTTTAATCCAGCAAAGGGCTACTCGATGTCGAAATTATGATCTGCCGCTATAGACTCCCTTCAAGATTTCTAAAAAACAACATGGTAATAATGTTAGTAATTGTTGAATTTTTTTCTGTTTTTGTGAGCAGTTTTATAATTCGTTCTAAGAATGAGTGCCTATTCACAGATGACCGGTTTTTCACTGGGAGGTTCACTGGCATCGATGGCGTCGCTGTATTTGGCGAAGAAGACATCTGTCGACAAAAATCTTGTAAGGATTCCCTCATTGTATAATGAGATTCAGCTCACTCAATTTGCAACTATCTTTCTATGTTAGAAGCTTTTTCAAGTTAGAGTCCAGGGTATTCTAGAGCTATGGGAGCCAAAATGTAGGAACATGTGAGGCAGAAATAACTTGTTAATTTCACTTTATCGTTAACAATTATCTGCACGAATAGTGATTTCCTACAATCTGGTGACCGAAAACTTCCTATATCTCCAAGATGGGGAAGGCTGATCATTGCCATTGCAACCATTGCCCATTGCCAAGAGGGGGAGAGCTGGACGAAATTACATGTGATTCTAATGATGTCCCAATGATCCGTCGGAAGGCTATTGGACGATACAGTGAAGCAGAAACAATCATAGGCAAACCCGGAAGGAATAGAAAAGCCAGGGTTTTCAGAAATAGGACTAATGAAAAAAGTCCGTTTGTGCGTTGATTGTATCCTTGGGTGGCCCATAAGTAGAATGGCAACGGAGCAGTACTTATTGAAGGAGAGGGCGAGATGTCAAGCAGATGCGTCATTTCTATTCTTATCTTATATGGAAATTCCACTTCATATCTGAGTTTANNNTTTCCTCTGACGATAAATCTTTTACGACCAGACCAATTCTTGAGAGATGAAACGATTGGATTCTGCGTAGGAAAATCAAAAAGCGCAATGTCTCGCGAAAGATTCATTATATAAACAACAAATTGATGTTTATTATGAGGAAACGGGCAAATGTAGAACACGTTGTCGGTGCTGGCTTGAAAACTGGGAGAGGGATGCTCTTGAAAGGCATACCAATGGGCATTTTGAAGCACAATCCGATCTCACCTTCTAAAGTAGTCCATGGTTCTTTGAGCAGAGCAGTGCTCCAGCACAAAGAGCCAGGTTCGTTCGAGAGTGGTGCAGACGCCGGCTGCCCGACCTCATTAGCAAAGAGGGATGGCATCCTGCTTTCAGGATTTCTACTCACTTGACACCTCCTTATGGTCCCTCATTGTCGAGCTTGCAACCTAGTTTGGAGGCATCTAAGCAAGACTTAAGAGCGGCTGGGAGAAAGTGAAAGGCTTACGTGCAACCAGGAGTTCGATAGCAGACTTTGAGCTTAATGGGGGATATTTTCGGATGACATTGTAACTTTTTATGGTACGTGACGTAAGCGAACTCGCATTTTGGTTTCATTGTTGTTCTTAAATGAGAAGCTTCAAATGCATGGCTATAAATAGGAGCCCGTTATTCCGGGGCACCCTGTTATATCATACTACGGGAGTGATACTCATGATGATACCAAGAGCGCGATACCAATGATAGTGATAAAACAGCTTTAAACGTTTTCGCTGAGTGGAGAAGATAACAGCAAGTCGTACCATAGTGACTATCCGCGAAATTGCGCTCGAAAAATGAATCCTGCTATATCGCTAAGTGTCTGTTGGTTTGTCGCTGTAATTGTTTCCGTGTGTGTCGGTGTGTGTGTCTGACCTTAAATTCATAACTCCTGTTCCGGTGGACCTAGAGCGTCGAAATATGGTAGGAGTACAAGCGGCAACATGGGATCCCTAACGGCAGGTAACAAGACCAGACTTCTCCTGCAGGGGGTGGGGCGTGCACTATAGAAATTTTGGACCTTAAGTTCATAACTCCTGTATCAGCGGACCTGTACGTTTAAATTTGGTAGGAGCACATACAGCAGGATAGGAACACTTGTAGTCGGTGGCGGACCGGACTCCGACTAAATTGGGCGAGGCGTGCGCAATAGAAGTTTTGGACCGCAGATTCACACCACCAGTTTACGTGGACCTAGCGGAGTGAAATTCGATAGGGGATCATACAGCAGGATGCGAACTCTTATGGTAGCTGAAAGAGCCAGACTCCGCCCACAGGGAGCGGGTTTGCGCAGAGTAAATGTTCGAGCGGAAATTCGTAAATTCTGTTTCCGTGGACCTGAACAGTTGAAATTTGGTGGGTTTGCAGCTTTTCACATTAACAGGGGAAGCTCGGCATTTCAATAAGTGATGTAGGATATATCGGAATCGTAAGTACTCGGTGACAGGAGCCGATAGATGTTAAGAAAAGGTAAGGAGTCTCGGAGAGCAAGAGCCACCCACTGATCAAAATCCTAACACCTTTGTTATTTACGATGCTGCTGGGACTGTCAGTATGTTTCATTCGACTTGACGGGATGGTAGAGTAGGATGACAAGAGTGGTGGCAGGCGCAGAGATAGGGACCCATTGGCGGCACTACGATAAGCAGCTGAGAATTTTGTTCTTTTCTTGCTATTAGGCTATGACCGCTACCCAGCAAGGTATGTGACTCAATGAAGGATCCTCTTTGTTCGATATTATTTGCAACAAAACTTAATCGATCGCCAGTTATCTGGAATTCTTAACTAATGATATCTCTTTGAAAAGAAAGGTCCAACACTCGAAACGTTTGTAAGTACCGCCCAATGCTTTGCTTACCTAGTAGTTGAATCTTTGATGGGTCTTTGATTTTAAGAAGGAGAGCCGAAGATCAAGACTCCCAGTTGGAGGCGTACGCACCCTGATCTATTAGTCTCATGTCAAACTTCGTGTACAGCAAAATATTATTTCTTTCAAAGAAGGAGTGGAGAGTTAGCTGATTACCACAACTTTCGAAGAAGGAGAGAAGCCCGGCGTTAGCTGAGCGAACCGACTGGTACACCATGATACAATTTTTGACTATGCATTCACGCATTCGGCTGACGATTAAATTAAATGAATCGACTGGCTCAAAAATAGTTTAGAGATTCCCACAACACCGACCACTTTTGCTGAGTTTCCAGTTCGTCTCGTGAGGTATTCTGCTATTCTAGCTTTCATAGTCTTGTTACCAGAACCAAGTGATGGTCGGAGGGTTATCTTTTGTGGGAAACGAGGATGCATACCCGCAGGAGCCCATCGGGTTTTATTAAACGCAGCTTTTCTTTTGACGCTTTTCTTTCTTGACCATATTGGCGCTTGAACCCGAGACCGCGGCGCGAAAGACCCTGGAAGCGTTTTGAATTACCGCTAAAGAGCCCCTTATGAACAGGAACTAGGAGCGCGTAGCCAAAACCCGCGAACTCGCACGCTTTCTTGACCTATGCAACCTTGATCTGCGATGCGGTCAGTGGGAGGTGTTACTGGTTATTCCAAAACAACATTACGAGGGTTTTCGTCCTTTGTCTTAGCGGCGATCTCCAAGGTGAGCATTCTATGTCCCATTCGATCAATACCTCTGGGGTTTGCTGGTCTACTTGAAGTCTTGTTGGGGCTTTTGGGAGAGCGTCTGAAATTGTAAGTAACAGCAATCGTAATACAGTCTGGAAACCAAAAATCAGCGGATAATCATCGAAGGAAGCGATTTGCCAAGAGCAATATACTGCAGCTGGAGCGTTTTGAAAATGGAGTTTAGCTACTACTATACTGAATCATAGAATCGTGACAAGAAAAGTGTGAGAAACTCCCCACTCAACTCCCACTGGAGGAATGATGGACCAAAATTGTTAACTGTGGGTAACACACGCGTTGGCGGCCTAACTATGATTTTTGCTGAGGTTTTTGAGCCACAATACGTGTTGTACTTCAGAATAATTATTATATTATAGTTACATAAACACAACATTGTTAATGTGTTAGTCACATCATTCAGCTCCGACTCGTTACATTTGGGGAACCACGAACTGGAAATGTAGCATTTGCCAGAGAAGTTGAGGAGAATGTACCTTTTCGATATCGAGTTGTCAAGAGGAACGATTTTGTGAGTTAATGCTTTTTTAGAACCATTTTGGTGTTCATATGGTTCATGTGGAATTGTGCTGAATAGATAGCGCAAAAAACGCATCCCTGTTGGAGCTCAGAGCAGATGAACCGCTGGCACTTGTCACTTGCTTCTGAATCTATGCTTTGGCAAGATCTTGTCAGCAACTACCTTTTGTTTTCAGGTAACAAGTATTCCAAGATCAGTCGACCCAGCGGCATCTCTCATGGTAGCAACGGCATTCGAACGGCAACCTTTGTTTTACCGGTTCCTGGTGCACTATAACAACAACATGAAAAAAGGAGACAGTTTCAAGGTAATCTGCTCAGAAACAGATCAATAACAACTGAATCAAGTGAACGTATGAAAATCTCAGCTCAGCGAGTGCAAGAACATTAGAAAGATGTCGTCGACGATCCACTACCATTAGTCACTTTATTATGCATTCCAATGACGATTCCAATGCATTCTGTTCTTACTCTTTCCTTACTTCTCCCTTGCTTTACCCTCCAAAGTCCTCTGTGATAGAAATATTTTTGTGCCGTGCGAAATGTTAGGTGAAAAATTAACGGCCTAAAGTTTGACGCAGCTATACTCCTGATTACAAATCGAGATGACTTGCACAATATCCAAAGAGCACATTATCCCCCCTAGCAAATGCGACAACGAATTCAGAACCAACAATTTGGAGTATTGCTCACTAAGGTCCCGCCGTTCAATAAAGAAAAAACATACCACAGTCCACCATAAGCAGCGTATGAGACTTCTTCCTGTCTCTGTTATACTTCTAATGAGGAACATCACGTTATAGTGATACATAGTCACAGCTAGGCACTGCTACGGCACATACGGCAGAAGATCGTTGGTCTTGGACGGGCACTCATTTTTACCGCCTATTTTGTGATTGCTTCAAGAAAAATTATCTTACTTCAAGCTACCCTGCTACACCAGCTCATACCACAAGCCGTTGAACGTTCAGTCGTCACCAACATGCTGAGAACAGGAACAACAGCCCTCACGAGTGAAGTTTGTCGACACCAATCATGACGCTTAGCTTGCGACATAGCTGCTGCGAACAGGTACACGGTATCACAAGGTCTTGGAAGTTGTCGCACTACTACACAGTGTACTACTTTGAGAGTATGTTGCTCGCGAACGCACTAAAGAAGGATTACATATAGGTTCGATATCAAGGAATGGGGCATTATTGGTAGATCAATACTACAGCTGGTCGATTTTCGATGTGGTAGTTCGAAGCAGATGATCGTAGACCAAGGATATGCCATCGATACGTCCATCATAGCCCTCTGCTTCCCCATCACAGAACTGATTGTGGCACCTACCATAAATGGCACGGTCGCTTATTCTGAAGAGAGATCTGCTCCAACAAATTTCGGCGGAACGAACGTACACTGTCCCGAAATACGGACACTGTTCTAGCCTGCAGTCAGAACAATACTGTTCAAAGGTGTACGAATTGGAGAGACGATCTCTACTTTAAAATCCATCATCGCGACATTCTACGAAAAAGCCACTTCCAGAGCAGGACTCTGCAAATATCACACATCTTGACTGACCAGGAGTGTCGAGTGCAAGTCAGTATTTGTCAGCTGTAGGCGAACGACGTCATCAATCGACTTCGTCATAGCTCAGGATAAAAAGTAGATGTCATACGAAAAGCCACACAGAAAATGGCAATACCTAACATTGGACGAAAGACCACAGCCCTCTGTAGAGCAAAGCCCTCACGCCAAGAAAGACGTGACCTTATTTTTCTGACTGCACTTCGATAGGATCTCACAGTAAAACACCCGTGACCACCGGGTGTTTTGCTGTGAAATCCTATCGAAGTGCACCGCGGCAAACGCAAGAGTACTTTGTTACCGACCGGGTGAGATGGTGTTTCGAGCCCCATTTCACACCGCTTACAAGGAGAGTTTTGATTGTGAAGTTTTGATTCTTCATATTTGAGAAATGGCATCATTGCCACTCCGGTTGATAGAGAGACATTGTGATTAAGGGGCCACTATCTTGATCTATCTCTTTGCTGCAATTATTCTGTATTGAAAAAACTGAAATTTCTCAAAACCTTCCGGACACCCTGTTCGTTCGAAACAAGTCTTCGATGAGCAGTGCACAACGAGAGTTTCTACAGAAGAACAGATGATTGCGCACTGATAGCCTGATCTGCTAGATGGAATGCTGGACGATGATCAACATACATCGGAGAGACGTGAAGACAACTAGCTATACAAAATGGAGAGCACTTAGCCACTATAAGGCCTGGCAGCCTGATGATGGTGCTTGGTGTAGGAAAGTTGAGGAGTTTAGTGGAGCTAAGCTTTAAGAAGAATGCGCGACATAAACGGATATTTCAGTGACCAGGGCATCGGACGCACTTTGCATCTTTCAAAGAAAGACTAAATTGAAGAGCAGAAATCAGTGTCCGCTTATACTCAATGATCTTTTGCCGTATATACTGCACTGCAGCCATGACTCAGCAGCACTACAACGTGATCTCCCTTGACACAAGTTTAAGGTAGACAGCGAGCTTTTGGAACGTTGATGAATAATGCGTCAAGTTACTGGTCTGAATTTGTCGTCACTTTTGCTAGCGGGGAGATGCGCTATTCGGGAATTGTGCAAATTATCTCCAGTTGCATTTGGGTTTCTGGAAAAGACGATGGCGTCGAAACGTTGGGTTCTTATTATAATACATTGGTCCACGTAAGAACTTGCGTGGGACAGGATCGCTTTACTCTGTTTTCACTCTGGCAGTATTACAACTTGTTAAGGTATCATTTTCATTTACTACCGCGAAGCTCTTCTCGCAGCGTGGAACTAGGTCTACGGTTTCTTATGTCAAACTTCCATTTTTCCAATCTAGGTCTCCAAAATGGGAGTTTTGACCTAGGAACGAGCATTTCTGACACCCACTCTCACATTTAGCCATCGATAAGCCTTCTTGCTCTATTAAGAGAGAAGAGACAAGATAGAGTTCGATTACGTGATTACAATTCATGCTCATCGGGAACATTGTGATCTAGTTGAAAAGTGAACAAAAAAATGCGGCTTTCTCATGCAAACCCTTTTTGTTTAAAGGAGCCTTCTGTTTAGGTCAGTAGGGCTGAATCAGCGCGACTCCGAAGAGCGCATCAAACACAGATGATTTTCTGCGATCTGAGTTCTACCCTAAATGAATTTGGCCTGAGGTTGTGGTGGGTCATGAGTTGATGCAAAGGGGGAGGACGGTTTCTTGACTGTCTGATTTGACGACTCATGCCTGATTGCCTATCTTTTCAGGTGTCTGGTCTCATCTGAAACAGAATTCTGAGGTTATTTTCATTGCACCCCTCTTCTGGTGCATGTTCCGCCTCTGTGAGCAGCGCTTCCCTTAACTCGAATAAGCGCTGTTGGTCTTGCCCTATGCTCGACATTTTCAAAACTTGACCCGACATTTTCAGATGCTTCTTCAGGTAATATCAAATTTCGAAACAGACAAACAAGCAAACAGCCTAACAGACAGCGCGAGCGCGCCGTATGCATCTCAAGAAACTCCCCAGTCACAGCTTTTTTTGAATAATCATAGCGAACTTTGATTCTATTTTTTTTTTCTAAATAGGCAAATAAGTTCTACCCTCACTACTGTTCTACCCACGTAATTTGTGCAACTAATTTAATGAGCCTACCATGTAAAAGGTTTGCTTGTGTTGAATTATTTTTGTGTCAGTTTTGGAGATAATACACTCCAGACGAATTATGCAAACGATGACGAACCTTTTGCCATTTCGTCGATTATAACTGAATGCGCTAACCATGATCAACTGCTTTTTAGTAACTTTGCAGTGTACATTGTTGTACTATAACTGCATCCCTTAGAACATGGACCGAATTTTTCTCACGATTTGTCTCTGAATATGAGTTTCATCGGAAACTGTTTGGTGCGGATAGCTGATTGCGCTGAACACGGAAACGATTTGAACACAGGCTCGGAGATATCTGGTACCTCTTCTGCAAGCTATTGCTTCAAAACAGCGTGAATAGACAAGTCATAATAGCGAGGTCACAGGTTAGTTTGATAGGATGGGCAGGATTATCGTATGTATTTACCTGACTACGCGGGTGATCAATTAAAACTTTCAACAAGTGTGGTCCGTAGCTTGCGCTTGTCATGCTCTCTGGTTTGATCAGTAACACTATGTACAGGGGGACGGGCACTTCGTGCGTCCGAGGACGTGCGCGGCAACTTGCGCCGCGAACTTCATGACGATTTGTACGACTCTGACGCCAATTTTCGTTGCACAAACTCGAAGTAGAGTAGTTAAGTAGGGTCAGATGATCTTTCTAATCCACTCTACTTCATAGTCGGGCCCCATTGATAGGCGCTGAAGTCGTTATACCACATACTCTATCAGGGTCAGTGATCGAGCTCGATTGACATCAATAAGACTTTTTAGTCTGATAAGGGTGATGTTAGTGGCGAAAAATATCAGCAGTTGGCAGGAACGTCAAATTATATCTGAGATCATATACTGAAGAAAAGGCAAAAAGTTAACATTGCATAATGTTTAGTACGAGAGCGGGATTTTAGAAGTGGTAGAAGAACTCGAATTCGAGAACTCCACATGTTACAACTTTTAATATCTTCGAGCGGCTTTTAGGATGCTGAACTCGTTCCCCATTATTTTGACAGGAAATGTGATTTACGGTCATAGCTTCTCCTCCAGGAATCATATACTTTTTATTATTCATTTATTTACTTCTACTAGTATCACGAGTACCCTTTCCCCACGTTATTCAGGTCAGAAGTACACTCTATTCCTTTCTCTGCCCCATTATCTTTTCTGCTCTCCATATCAACCCCTTCCTCTCGGAATAAACTCATCGCTACCCACACCGCGATATATGTATCCGAACTTTCATAGTAACTGGTAGTAGTTCAGCGTTCACTACACTACACAACATATATCTTCCGTATAGCACGTACATCACTTGCTACTTCGATTGCAAACTTCGCTACTCTTGGCCTTCGGAGACCTCTCTCCCCATCTACAATCCTTGCCGTTGCAAATGCCTCCCGCACTTGTAATCTTGTTTTCCAAAAGGTTTCCGGCCTCAACCTTTTGCATTGAAGTTCTGCCTAGTGACGTCCCCATCTACCTGATGAGCCTCGTTGTTGTCCGCCATACACTTCAAAGGCCAAACTATTTCTTAGCACATAATGCTCCAGTCTTCTCAGCGCATGTCCAAAGCACGGCAATCCCGTTTCAATGGATGGATGACCGATCCATAATCGTTTTGACAATCTTATCCTCAACCCTGTCCAGTCACGATGAAGTTCGA